GTAACTATTACTCAGCATTTACGTTGTATTAGGTATTATAAGTAATCTAGAGACGCTTCAAAGTATAGCAGGCAGATGTGCATAAATTACATGCTAGTACTAATATTTTACATAAGTGACTTGAGCATGCACAGAATTTGGTATGGAAGGGAAGGGCCTAGAACAATCCTCCATGGATACCAAGACACAACTGTATTAGTTTTGAAAAATATTTATATTTTTATTAAAACAATTTCAAATTAACATGCAACGATTTACTGTTATTTTTGAGTAAATTAATTTTTAAGTTGTTTTAATTTCTTTCTCTCTCTCTCTCTTTTTTTTTTTTTTTTTTTTAGCAGTACAGAGGTTTCAACTCAGGGCTTCCTGCTTGCTAGGCAGATGCACTTCTACTTGAGTCATGTCCCCACAGCCCAATTTGTTTTAATTTATAATACAGGAAATATAATAAATAATCCACATAAACCCAAACTAACTTAAGGGTTCTCAATAATGTGTAAGCATATCAAGGGATTCAACAACCAGAAAGTTGGAGAACAGCAGCCTTAGGGCTGTTAACTATTTCTCATAATTATACCATATTATAACAGAGTAACTCCTCCAACAGACAAATGAAATGTGTAAGGCATTCTGCCCCAAAGTAAGTCATCCCATTGTAGGGACCCTTACAATGGTCCCTAACTTTAGATGATTAGGTTTACAATTGTTTCACTTTACAATGGTGCACTCATCAGAAACTGTACTTCAAATTTTTATTTTTTCCCCACAATGCAAAGTATGATACTCTCTCGAAAGCCACAGAAAGGTATCATGAGGGTAACAACTAATTAATACTGTACAGGGTAGTGGGTTGCCAGAGTTTTTTAGATACAGGTATTCAGTAAATTATATGAGGCATTCAACCTTTATTATACAGTAAGCTTTGTGTTAGATGATTGTGCCCAACTGTGGGCTTAGTAAGTATACTAAGTACAGTTAGGGTAGGCTAGGCTAAGCCATGATGTTTGGTAGGGTGTATTAAATGCAATTTCCTCCCCATCCCCACACTGGAGATTTGAACTCCAGGCCTCATGCTTACTAGACGGGCCCATCTACCACTTTACTACTTGAGCCACTCCCAATCCTTAAATGCATTCTTGATTTAGTTCCAGTTATGATGGGTTTATCAGCATGTCATCCCACTATAAATTGAGAAGCATCTGTATTTTCTAAGTTATTCAGTCTTCTTTGCCATTTTTCTATTCCCTCACTGTACTACCCACAGATCATAATTCAAGTATACTGTCAATTTGCCTTTCTCATCCCTTCGAGCAATACCACAAAGCCAAGAAATAGCTAACTATGTACAAAATTCAATGAATAATGATATCCTTATGAATAAAATTCCCATGCTTTACTGTATCTATGAAGATTACACAGATGTCATTTTTACATTCTATACACCTAAATTCATGGATGACCTCAAGATAAGTAGAGCTTTACTTTATTAATTTTTAGACATTCTTTTTCACTATTGTCTCATATGCTATCATTTATAAAGCTTGGCAAACCCTTCACCCAACGGTGTCTGGAACAAAATCTGAAGTGAGAAAAATAAAATGTGTGATTGAATTCCAATGTGCTTATTTAATGAAAGCAAAAAAGAACTGCAAAATTTTAGGGACACTAACAAAAAAGACATCTAACTTGACAGGTAAGACAGGAGAGAAAAGAACAAAATGAAAAAGATACAGAAAAATGAGTTTGTATGTGTAGAGAAACCAAAATTATACTAACACAAGAAGGCAGAGGGGTTCATAGAGTGCTAAGATATAAGAAAATACTGTATAATAATCGGACATGATATCAGCAGTTAACTCTGGGGGCATTAAAGAGGAACAAGATAACTGAAGAAATAAGGAATAAATGAAAACAAAACAGTATACTAATGAGTACCAAATTAAAATACTGGCATGTACTGAGCTGGAATTCAAAAGAGCTACTCAGAACTAAATGGGGCTGATCAAATAAATTTTTTCTACTACATGTTTTGGACAGTTTTTTTGAGGTGATAAACACACTGATGTTTGAAAGAAGAGAAAGGCAAAACATAATTAAGAAATAATTGGTAAACACAGAAAAGTAAGAGAAGTAAATAAAGCAAAAAAATAAAAATAGGAAGCCAAAGGAATTAGAGAAGAAAGCTAAATAATAGTTGGGTTTCTTTTAAATTAGGAAGCCAAACAGAGAGGAGAAACTATAAATCAGAAAAATGAGAGTAGTATAAAGAGTTAGTTAGGGATGTTAGGCACCCAGAAAGAAAAAATAATATTGTGGAGGGGAAAAAAAAAGTGGAAGGCAGAAATTATGAACAATTTCTTTAGATACTTCAAAAGCAGGTACTATAGAACATATTCATATATACATTTTCTATGGCAACAACAAATAATGTGCATTTAAGGAGGTGTGGCTCAAGTAGTAGAGCACCTACCTAGTAAGCATGAGGCCCTGAGTTCAAACCCCAGTGTCACCAAATAGTGTGCACTCAAAAACTGAATAACCTATCATGAACAGTTAAATAAAGGTATTTAAAGAGAATGTGGGTAAGTAACAATTACATTACATTGCTATCCAACATCATTAAAATTCTGTGTAATCCCACTTTGTAAGTACTGCCATAACCTATTTCTAAGATAAAAGCAGCTTAAACATGAGATCATATTATCTCTAAGCAATTACTACATATAAATGTCTAAATATGCACCTCTATTTTTGGAAATATTAGCATGTTTCTTAGAAGATATTGTTGACTAGCAATAATAACACAATACCAACAATGTGTAAAACAACCAAATTTTAGGAATTTACTAATGATATATGTAAAATGTTTCTAATTGGTATCACTTGATTAAGAAAACGGCAAACAATATAAACTTAGTTCCTATACTTGAACCTCTGTGAACTCTGTATACATGAAGTTCCCAGTAGCTTGATCTTAAGTGGCAAGGAAACTTCCTAACTTAGCTGAAGCTCTGAAAACTTATGATTACTTTCAGTAAACAGAGCCCTTAAAAAAAACAATATGCACAAACGCTTTGGAAGGAGTTTATATTAGCCAATTTAATCTTAAAAAATATTATGAATATATAAATCCTGATGCAATTTAAAACTATCTTAACTTACTCTCTTTTTAAACCTCTACTCAAACCTTTCTCACGTTTTAAACAAGGCTTTGAAAATATTTAATTTGACAATAGCTCATTAGGTGCTAAATTAACATAATTTGACATAAACCACGAAGTAAATTATGCCTTGCTGAGGGGGAGAAATATACAAGACAACTATCTAGGTGAACACCTCATTTTAAAAAAATATGTTGTCAAAATCTAAAACGATTCTTTCCTCAAGGGAAAAAAAAAAAAACCAAGAAGTACCTCTAAAATCAGGAATTTAAATAATCATTTTCAAGAGCTGAGATACTTTTTCATATAAAATTTACTAACAGAGAATTCCTTGCAAAGTGTTAATTCTCTGTAAAAGACTTGTTCTATTAAGGCTTTGTTGCTCTAAGGCCAAGTATAAGCCATATAAGGAAACTTAAGTTCAATGTCATTTATTTTGTTCCCCTCTTTCAGATGCCCAAGAATAACCTCTCTTGCTGCCTACTGAAATGTTTCAAAATCATAAAATGGATCAGTTATGCGTTTTAAATTCCTTGCTAAAGCTAGCTTGACTCAACAGGAGTTACCTGATTGGCTCAAAACTCTTACCAACAACAACAAAAAAAGCCATTCCAGAGAGTAATCAAATCCAAAAACAAAACTATATACAGTAATAGTTAAAGTATACAGTAATAGTTAAAAATGAAGCAGCAATGAACAAGTTGTGCAATATTTCATTCTGACCTTTAAAACCTACCTTTCTCTTTTAACTAAAGAAAGTCAACTCTTTTTCCTCGGGTTTCTAGTAACTGCCTTGACACCATCTGATTAAACTAAACGTTCTACCTTCCATCAGAATGTCGCACCTATTTATTTTCAAGTATTACCTTTCACCTCCCTTTTCACAAAAGCACTGAAAAAAGGTAAACTTGAAAAGATGCTACGACACCACTGGAAGAAGTTGGGGTTTCTGGCTTGCTGGGTAAAAACTACACCTGGTCCCGCCATGCTCAGAACCCCGAATTCGGGTCCGCTCAGCCGCCACATCACAGCAGATGGGCCAGCACAACTGGCAGACCGCGCACCCCAAAAAGCACAGCCTCCCAGCACAGCCAGTGCGACTCCCATGAAAACCGTGGTCCGCGCCCCACGTCCCCTCCGCCACACCGTCCCGAGCTGCGGCGTCCTCAGAGCCGGCTCCTTACAGGTGCTCGCTGACTTTAACCCACGCCGCTCACACGGGAAGCCTAGCTGACCTGGCTCCAACCAAGGTGCAAAACAAGCCTCAAAAACAACGTGCTGCCTGTCTGAAGAGAACAACTGCTACAGCTAAAGACGCTTCAACCCGCCCGGAGAAACAACGACGACGATCAAGGTTTGTCCCTAATGTCTACCGGCTGGAACAAAAATATCTGCACACTCGATCAACTCCAAAAAACCAAAACAATCGGCCACGACATCAATGTGGCAGCCATCTCATCAGCAGCAAAGCACTCGCGGCAGCGACCTTTCTCCCAAAACAAAAGTGGCCGGGTTCAGCAACGACATATGCATTGTACACGTCCTGTAAGCTAGAACTTGTGGACCCGATGCTCAACAAAGGCTCGCTTTCTTCCGATGCCTCAGAACTTTTCGTCCCACCGCATTCTTACGGGGGGGGGGGAACAAAACAAAACGGAGTCCAGATGGGAGAAGGGGAAAGAGAAATCAGTTCCACGATTTAGCTCCTGAAACACTATCCACGGTGACACGAGAAAAGAATTCAGGGCCGCTTGGGCAGAACGAGAGCCACACGGAACAGGTTCGTGTTTTCCGGCCCGTCAACTTTAGGACTTGGGAGACACTTTCTGCGGACATTACCTTTCGGTCGGACGGGGTCTCAGGGCAGCTTTTTCGGGGCTCCGCTGGACATGATTTCCCCCCCTTTCCCGAGTCACTTGGGGTCCAGCTGAGTTTCTCGCGCGGGCAGAGCGGATGTGGAGCGGCCTCCCGCGGTGCCCGCGTAGGTGGCTCCGGTGGGGGCTGGGAAGCGGGCTGGCTTCCTGGTCTCGAGTTTTGCAGGAGTTTCCCAGCCCCGAGTAGGTCCTCCGCCAGAAGAGGGAAAAAAAAAACTTTTCACTCGTGACACCGCCCGGAATTGCCGTGCGAAACTCACTTCCTGCCTTGGCAAACGGCAGGATCCAGCTCGGTCCAGGGGAACCCGGAAAACTAGCTGTGCGCGCGCCGCGGAGGGGGAAGGGAGGGGGCGTCCAACGACAGCCGCGGGCTCGGGACCGCCGCCGCCGCGCCTCGCCGGGCACACCCGACGGCGACCGAACGGGGCTGGCGGGGGCGAGGACGCGGCCGGGGCGCTCGCTCGGCGAGCCTCCGCCGCGCTAGGCCGCCACCTCCTCCTCCTCGCCGCCACCCCCAGAGCCGGGCGGCGGGGTTATTGTCTCGAGAACGCCTGCCGCGCCCTTCGTTCGCGTCGTCGCCTCGAGCCGGAGCCGTGGAGCCGGGCAGGCGCGATGGCAGCCCCCCTCCCCGCGCCGTCCGTCGGACCGTCCGTCCTTCCCTCCCCGCCTTCTCCACTGTCCCCGGAACCCTGTGTCCACCCTCAGCCGTTTTCCCGCCGCCGTCTCTCCCTCCTCGCTCTTCCTCTCCAGCAACGGAGAAGCACAGGGGGGCGGCGGCTGCCCGGTCTCCTCACGAGCTCGCGGGGCCGCGGCAGGGGCCGAGGCTGCGTCCCGCACCGCCGCGCCACCTTCACTCGAGCGAGGGGAGGAGAGAGGAGGGAGGGAGAGGAGAGAAAGGCGGAGGAACGGGGCTGTGGCGGAGGAGAGTTACTGCCTCTCAGACCGCGGCTGCAACAGCGCCACCGCCCCGGCGGCCGGGGGGAGGGGGTGGGGACAAGAGGCTGCGCGCGGCGGCTCGGTGACTGGGGCGGGGGGCGGGACGGCCTCCCGCCAGCTGCGCCCCAACCGCCAACCGCAGAGCTGGAGGGCGGCGCGAGCCAGTCAGCGCGCGCGGGGGCGGGGCGGGCCGACGTCGGCGGCGGCTAGAGGCGTCGGGCCGGGGGCTGCCGAGGGGGGCTGGCGCGGGTTCGCGTGCGAGGCGCGGCGGGGGACTGCGCTCCCCACCTGGGGGTCCCCCAGCTGCTCATCGCGGCCGCGCGCCGGCGCGGGACCGTGAGCCCACCGGGCTTCGATCGGCCCGGCCTATCGAGTTTCTTTGTACGACAGTAATCGGTGCAAAGAGGTTGCTGAAGTCCGGCCCCGATTTGAAGGCAGCAGGTATCTCTTTCAGCCGCAGCACCCCAGCCTCCTCTAATGGCACGCTCAGGTTGCAGGGAGCCTCCACCACAGCTCCGCGGGTCTGCCACGCTGCAGCGCCGCCCGGGCTCCTCCAGGGCTCAGCCTCGCACCCGCCAGGAGACAAAGCTGGAGCGGGTGTGGGGGGCGGAGGGGGGGAATGGCCCGCGAAAATGCCTGGAGACAGCGCCTTTGTTAGAGGAAAGGTTGGATACCCTCCCAGTGAGGCGGACGGTGGTGCAGGCGTTGAATTGTGCTGGCCCTGATAGTTCAGCCTGGCAGGGTGTGCGTTTATTGCCGAGACAGTCTTGAGCATTCTGTCAACACATATGGCATAGAAAGCCTCAACCATAATATTGCACAGGTTTTGCAGTTTCTGCTTTAAATATACTAACAGACAAGACGTCCTTGTTTTACCCAGGAATAGATACGGAGCAAACCATCCTCCACCCCACCCACCCCCAGTCTCTGCTGGACTTGACTGTGTACAGTGATGGTAATTAGCCCCTGGGTCCCTGAAGTCCCTGGTTCCGTTCTTCCCTCTGTAGGCCAGAGATAATTATTCATCACCAAGTTTGAATAAAGAGCTCTATGCCCTACAGATGAGTTTTGGCTTGCATCCAAAGGGAAGAGTTTCATAAAGTCCACCAAAGAATTGTTCATCAAAGTGAGTTCTATGTTAGTGACAAACACTTGCACTAACTCCCAAATGATAGTCAAGTCCTTTTGAACAGAAATAGAAGCATTATTAACTGCATCCAGAACTGCTGGGATTAACACAGGTATTAGTTCCTTAGCGTAAAGCAAAAGTTGAACCTTTACAATGGCACCAAAGTGTTCCCGTACTGACTCATAGTTAACATTAACTGGAAGCTTGGAAATGGCAGGCAGGTATACTAGTAATGTCAAACTCCTGTCTATTTTATGTGAATATGAATATTAATCACTGCACAGAAATCTAAAGTTAGTGTATTTTCTGGGGTTAATTTAAAACCCCTTTGACGAGGATCTATATGTGGCTCAGTGGTGAGTGTTTGCCTAGCATACACAAGGCCCTGGGTTTGATCCCCAGCACCACGAAAAAGAAAATGTGGAACCAAAGATTCAAGCAAACCTAACCCTCTCCTCCAAGCCTAAATAAGTAGGACCAGACCACATCTGTAGGCTGAGAAGTGCCCTGGTCCTAGCTTCTTTTTCATTTAAATTTGTACCCAGAACCAATTTTGCTGTCTGCCAGGCAGGTTAGAAAAGTCTCTATAACCAAAACCCCTTCTCACTTACCTGAAATTCTGCCATTAGGGTTTTATCCCTCAGAGTTAGTTCTCTAGCAGTAAACCATAATCCTAGGAAAGGTAATATTTTAAGCCTTAATAGCCATTCATATCTAATTCATCAGATTGTTTCTCTAAAGCAGCTTTTGACAGAGGGGAAAGGTAGAGACAGCATGCCGATTCTGAATAGATGTGAGAGGGAAATGCTTCTCATTCCTTGGAGCAGGATATGGAGAATAGAGTAGTGCAGGCAATAAAATGACTCCCACATACCATAAGAGTGAATCCCGAAACACTGGCTTAAAAAGAGAATGCAAGCCAGGGTACACATGTCAATAGTTACCTACTGTGTCAAATATTTCTGTAATAATCCCTTTATAAAGTATTTTCCCAGAAGTTCTATATCTGTGAAATGATAACTGTATGATCAGGAAATTCAATAATCAGAACTCATGATTCATCTTTATTATTCATCACTGACTATTTAGTGTTAACTCATGTGAGCAGCACATAGAGAAATAGCCAAATCTTCCATTTTGTACTTTTTACAAGTCATTTCTGTTCCATGCTTTACAAATTAGTTTTCTTTGAAAATTTTACCACAGGACCTTGAATTAAAGATGGACTGAACTTTTTTATTTAGGATTAAATGGAGAATTAAAACCCCACCTTAAACAAGTCCCCATTCTGATTCTCTGTACAAGGCAGGGAATCTTTTCTTTGGGATTCCCCTTCCAGAAGCCAGAGCTCAGGAAAGAAATACTGTCTGCCAGAGATAAGCCACTTTATCTAAAGACAGCCTTAAGGCAGTAAGCATTCCAAGGAATGTATACACAGTATCCATCAGAAGAAAAGAGCCCAAAGAGAGAGTATATCCACTGTTTTAAAAACAAGCTTCCTGACATTTTTCTGTGCTGGCCAAGCAACTGTGTACAAACTTTGGAGAGATCAATGTGGGAGAAGCCAAGGAAAAGTTTGAAATCACTCTATTCTCCTTTTCTCAGCCCCTGACAAAGAATTAGTTATCTAAAGATTTTTATCAGAGTTTTAGTGTTTAGAAAAGTTCAGGCTAGCAGAGGGTTAGATTAAAAACAAGTCTAGGAACATTAAATGAACTAGACCAAAATGCACGGTAACACACATTTTTAATAGAGACTTGACTTCCCTATTTTCACTTCCATCTTAGCCCTTGAGAGAGGGCAGGAGGTCAGAGTGGCAAGTGTGTGAGAAAGGGATGCTTCACGCAAAAGAGGCAGTACATGCAGGAACCAATGTCAGGGTGTTTCATAATAAAATGGGAATTGAATCACATCTTCTGTAGCAGTTCCACCTTTCAACCATATTTTCAGTAATATTTTATGAATCGTGGGGAAAGTCGGTCTTTATTTGTGAGAGTTTTGAAGTCTTCCCCTAGAACGATAGCACCCCCTTGTACACAGGTATTTGAAGACCACTGTGCCCCCCACCAGTGCATGCCTGAAACTAACGATAGTATTGAACCAAGTATGTTGTATTTTTTTCTATCACATACATGACTATGACAAGCTTTATAAATTAAACAGTACTGTTACTGTGCTTAGCAATGATAGCTACTAATAAAATAAGAATTATAACAATACACTGTAATAAAAGTAATGTGAATGTGGTCTTTCTCTCAGAATATCTGATTGTACTCACCCTGCTTGTGATGGTGTGAGATGATAAAATGCCTACACAAGGAGATAAGGTGAGATAAATGAGCAAGTGAGGTAGCTTTAGTGAGCTGCGTGAAATGTCCTTGAGCAGAGGCACTGCAATATCATGGCCGTCAGTCTGGTAAGTGGGACATCTAGGTGACTGATGGGTGGGTAATGTGCACAGTGTGAATACACTGGACGAAAGGAGGATCGTGGCCCAAGCCGGAGATGCCGTCATACTCCTCAGAGCAGCCTGCACCTGAAAATGTGTGAATTGTTCATTTCTGGAATTTTCACACCATGGTTGACTGCAGGTAACTGAGACTATGGAAAGTGAAATTGTGAACGGGGGGAGGAACTACCTTATGTGCTTGGTAATCTTTCTGTCCTATCCATTTTGTAAACTATCAAAGTTAAATTTCGTTCAGATGCTTTATGAACTCTTTAAGTATGTGGAGAAAATAAACACCACCTCATGATTATATTTGTGTGGCTTTGGAAGGAAGGTTGTTTGTATTAGAGACTTGGCTAGTCAGCGACAAGTTCCTGAACATCTGCAAACGTACCTATGAGCTGCTTCTCCAGAATGGGGACTGTGGTGCCAAGAGCTTGGAGCGTCAGTAAAGTGCTTAGCACATTGTCTGGCATAGGCAAAAGTGTTAGCTATTGTTAGTATTTATTTATTTATTTATTTATGCATAGCAGTACTGGGGTTTGAACTCAGGGCCTTAAGCTTCCTAGGCAAGTTCTCTACCACTTGAGCCATGCCCCAGCTCAGTATCATACTTTTAAATGAACTGATGATGTAACTATGCTTCCGTCATTTCTGAGGCCACAGAGTCAATCTTTTGAGAGTGAAAGCAGACAT